CTTTCCCTTTGGCAGGAAAATACCTCCAGCCTCACTGATCCCTGACCATCCTTTGGCCACCTCTGTCCAGCGTCCCATCTTTTGTAGGCATTGCAATGCCTCTTGTAGCTGGTGCAGATGGGCTGAGAGAACAGGACAGTGGTCTTACCAGGATAAAGTCTGGGCCTCAAATAGTCATTAGCATGAGAAACAAGCAGTGGTGACCATAAACCAAGATGAGGATGTGGTTGGCCAGGTCCCCAAAGCAAACTCTCAAGAGATGGAGGGGGTTTGGCCAGTGACAGAAGGCGAGAGGCTGTTTTTTTGGAGACATGCTACTTGGATGAGCTGTCAGCCTCCCCAGGAGGAAGGTGGAATGAAGCTCAGCACCTCTTCTGTTGAGCAACTGTTTTTTGGCAGTTGTTTTTTTCTGGTCTTTTTGGGGAAAGAGGCTTTTTTACTTCCTCCTGTTATTTTCCTGAGGTAGCTGTTTACCCAGCGAGCAGTGTTGACCTCTTTCTCATGGAAAGCTTAAACCTGCTCCCTGGACACCCAGCCTGAGGGGTCTGCATGAGCGCTGATCCCAAAGCCCTCTCTCTCTCTCTCTCTCTGCAGGTCTTCCCCAAGAGTCACGTTGTCAGTGCGCTCAAGACCATCTTTGAGAAGAACGTCATGAGCTTTGCTGGTGGCACCATGGGAGCGGTGAATGGCATGAGACCCGACGGGGTGCCCGACACCTCCAGCGTTCAGTCCAACGAGGTGTGGATTGGCGTGGTCTATGCCTTGGCTGCCACCATGATCCAGGAGGTGAGTGGTGGTGCTGCACCCCTTGGCAGGTGCCATCTTGTTGTGCTCCGTGGAGGTGCTGATGGTTTTCTTCCCTCTGCCACAGGGGCTGGTGGAGGAAGGCTTTCGTACAGCGGAGGGCTGCTACCGGACGGTTTGGGAGCGGCTGGGCATGGCTTTCCAGACACCAGAGGCCTATCGGGAGAAGAAAGTCTACCGCTCGCTGGCTTACATGCGGCCCCTTAGCATCTGGAGCATGCAGCTGGCCCTGGAGCGTAGAGCTAGCCGGGCACCAGCACCTGTGCAGTCGCCCCAGGCCCCCATCCACCCTTGAGCCTGGTGGCACTGAGCAGGGCTGTGGGTGTACTGGGGGGCTGGGGCCCCTCAGCTGGCGGGCAGGGACCCCTCCCTCCCCTTCTTTGATTAATACTCGCATTGCTGTTTTCCTTCCCTACCTCCACTATGTGCCCTTCATTTCAGGGGTCTTCCAGCCACTGATGCTGAGCATGAGGAGGGACCAGAGATGCAGGTGATCTCTCCTTGGAGAGGAGAGGGGTGGGATAAGGAGGTGCTGCTGGAGCCTGTGCCTCCCCTTAGCCATTGCTCAGGGCTCTGACAGCCTGCAGGACCCTCAGCCATCCTCCACCGGAGCTGGTACCTTGCCCAGGAGCACAGGAGACCTCTCTCCTGTAGTCAGTGGGCTGGGTAAGGTGGGAGCTGGCCTGCAGGGCGAAAAAATGTGTGAGTGTATGTGTGTGTGAGGACAGTGGACTGGTGCATGCAGACAAATGGGTGCTGTAGTTGTTTCTCTGTTGTGTGACACTGCAAACGCTGACTGGCTCTGCCCCAAGGCACCAGCCCCAGGAGAGCCTGTGGCAGATACAATCCTCACGGGAGCCCCGGCTCCCCAGCCGGTGACAATCGGAGCCCAAGCAGCAGGTCCTGGTCTGGTACCGTGACACCCCTCCCTGCTGGCGCCGGGGGTGGGCAGCAGAGCACGTTTTAGAGGATGAATCATTTTGAGTTCTTAATAAATTTGTCCAGCTGTCTCTCCTTCTTCGTGTGTGTCTTCTCTGCCATGGGGGCAAGCTGGAGGAGGGAGCGTCTGTTGCTCCCCCTTTTCTTCCTGGGCTGGGCTGGAGGGCTGGGGTTGCAGGAGGTGCAAGCCTTAGCTGCAGCCTGGCTGTTGTAGGGTTTTGCTAATGGGAGCAAGATGTGCCTTTGCCCCCAGATGCGATGGCAGGAGAGACCTGCCCCTTGCTCTCTCCTCTCCTGCCTGCAAGGCAGGGGAAGGCGAGGAGCCTAGCATTCCTCCTGAAAATGCCTCTGCGGGGAGAATGGCCCTTGATTGAATATCCCCTCCTGCCTGGGGCTGGGTGCCTTTCTTCCTTTCCCTCCTTTCTCTGCTAGCGCAGCATTTGAAGGTTGCACCTGCCTGGTTTTGAGGGGGTGGGAGAGGGCCCTGCCCCCAGATTTGGCTACAAGGTCTTTGTGCCCACTTCAGAGCTTTAACCCTAAAACCCTCTCTTAATCCTTAAACTGCCTCAGGGCTGGGGTGGGAGGCAGCCTGTCCTCCCCACCATGACTGTTCCCTGCCACCCTTGTCTGCCCTGGGAGCTGGTGCAGGCAGGGCATCGCTGCGGTGGCCTGCTGCTGCTAGTGTGTGATAAACGGCCTTTTCTTCGCTCCCTGGGGGAGCGTTCCTGCATCCGCCTGGGCAGAGGAATAATGTTATCCGGGAAGGGCAGGTTGACCTGGATGGAGCCCCCCTGGACCAGCTGGAGTCATTCTCCCATGGCAGAACCCACGGTGGGTGGAGAGGGACCAAGATGCATTCCCTTAGGGTCACCGTGGCAAGACTGGAGGGGGATGGGGGTGCCAAGACACTGATGTGGCTCACCTGGGCTGCCTGCCTCCATTTGTCTTGGGTTGGCAGCCACCAGGGATGGTGATGTGCCAGTCCAGCTGGCAAAGAACAAAAGCCAGCACAATTTGTGACCCAGCTGGGTTTTGTTGCTGCAACCCATCAACATCGCTCCTTAACCCCAGGCGATAGGTTGCCCACAGACTTTCTTTCAAAGGTTGGGGCGTTCAATCTGTATCATGGGATACTTCTGCCCTTTCCTCTTCTTCTGACTGTATCACCTCAGTAAAAATCTAATCTTAAGAGGCTCAGCTTTAAGCAACCTCTGCATGGGCACAGCTGCGGGCTGGGAGGACAATCCTTGGTTACAAATATGATCTTCTCTAATATTTGCCTGTGCTACTGTTTTTCAAAACTGACTTAATCCCAGCTTGAGCAGCAAATTTAATTATTCATTAACCCTTTATTCTTATTCATTAACCCTTTCTTGACCCCTGACATACACGGTTTTAAACCACAGCCGTGCCGAGTTTTAACTTCTTCAGCACTTTATGCTTTGGACTTCCCTGCCTGCCTGTTCCCCTTTGCCCACTCCCTGCTGCAGCAGAGCTCAGGCATGGCATCTCAGGATTTAGCCCTGGTAATGATTGCCAGCCCTGAGCTGCTTCACTGGGCTGCCCTTGGGAACACGCAAACCCTGTGGAGATACCCCAGCTATTTGCTTGTTTTATTTTTGACTTGGCCTAGACTGGTCAACAAAACTGTCTCCTTGAACACTGAGCTGATACTCGAACCTCCAAGATATGCTGCTGGGACAGTGATTGTTAAAGAAAAATAAAGATTACAGGCAGAGAGCACCAATATTGTTTGTGTGATGCTAAAAAAACCCCTCCGTCTGTGAATGAGCTGTGGGTTGCCATCAGCAGCAGTGCCAGCATGCAGACCTTGTGTTGCCCATCCCCGTGCCCACCAGTGGCCATGGGATCCCTGCAGGAGCTGCCTGAACCAAGGTCATGCCAAGGGGGTGATGGCAAGGGGATGACAGCAAGGTGGCGATGGCGAGGGGCAAGGGCTGCCTCTCCTGCCCCCTAAAACATTCCCAGATTGACCATGCTCATTATCAGGAACCTTGGTCACGCTCTAGGCACCACCTGCCTGCTGAAAAAACAGCCAAAGCAAATAGCAGCTGCATGGGAAAACATATCTTGTTGTGCAGTTAATTTCTAAGACAGAGGGAAGCAAACACTGGGGCAGGATTTTCCCAAAGGCAGCCAGCTCTCTGGCTGGCCAGCTCTTGTAGGCAGGGGTGCAAGACAGCTGTGGGGCTCCTGCGGGGAGGAGAGGGGGCTGTTGAGATGCTGGCAGAAGAAACAGAATGTCCCCAGACTGGGTAGTGATGAATTTTACTGTTGGAGAGAAACTGGGGCTCAAATGTGAGAGTAAAGGAAAAGCAAAATTTGGGAAGTATTTCTGAGGTGTTGCAAAGAGTTGCCCTGTCTCCATTTTAAGAAAAGGAGCATTTTCTGGTGAAGAGGACTCCATCAACTCTTGCTATGATGACTGGGGGAATTAAAACTCACGTATTTTAGGACACTGCCTTGAAAGTCACTGAGGAATGAGTGAGAAAATCTGGTGTGAACCAGGCCACTTCATCCTCCCCAGCCAGCAATAACTAAAACATAAGGGGAATTAAATAAATATGTACTTAAAGTTATTTAAGAATCCCTGCATATATACAGTACTTGTCAGCATTAAAATGTGATGTCCAAGATATTCGGGGAATGTTTGTTTTTCATAAAATAATTTCCTTCCAACAAAAGCCAGCTTGTAATAACAGCAGCAAACCTTCATGCCAGCCCCGGGCAAGGAGACCAGCTGCTTTGTAGCCTGATCTGTGGCTGCTTCAGTACTAGCAGGGCGATAAAGCAAAACCCCAAAAGGACCCCAGTGCTGGGTGGGTTTGCATGAAGATGCCTGGTGAGGAGAACCAGGGTGAGGCCATGCGCTGCGGCTGACCCTGGGGTGCCCTGGGGTTAAGGCTCCTTGGCACCTCTAGGTACCCCAGGCAAAGCAGTGGGTGCTGTGCCTGGGATGGCAAACAGTTGGCAGAAGGGACAACAGAGCCCAAGAGGGGTTTTCCCCAGCTAAGCATCTTTCCCAGCAGTCACAGATCTGCAGGAGCCAGGGCCTCCCATGGAGGTGCTAGGGACGTGTAAGCAAGGAGGGGCAGTTTCAGCTGGTGCTTCTGGGAATATTTGCCTGCAGCCACCTCTCATACAGCTGGGAACTGCAATTTTGGAAACACCCAGATTGCATAATGCCCTGGCCAGAGCTGCCACCCACAGATCTGGCAGCAATAAAAAGGCGAGAGACCAGGCGCATCTGCAGAGCCCTGCAAGGAGGACATCCCTGTGTACACCTGCTCTCTGCCTGCTACCGAGATGGTGCAAGTGACTCCATTCCTCCTGATACTCAGCATGGTGCTGGTGGCTCCTGGCTACTCTGCAAAAAAGGTAACGGCAAGGCTGGGATCCATGGGGCAGGGTGGGGAGGGTTACCTACTCCTGCCACTCTGCCTGCACCCGGGCTGTGCTGCAGCACCAGCCCTGAGTTCCCTCTCTTCTAGTGCGTGCTGACTGGACGCTGGATGAATGAACTGGGCTCCAACATGACCATCACGGCTGTGAATGGAAAAGGCGAATTCAGTGGCTTCTACCACACGGCTGTGACAGCCACCATGAATGAGATCCAGGTGTCACCACTCCAGGGGTCCCAGCACCGCACGAACCAGAAGAGCCAACCCACCTTCGGCTTCACTGTCAACTGGAGCTTTTCAGGTACTTCTTTCCCAGCCTCCCTGCAGTGTCCCCAGACCTCCCCTGCCCTCCCTGTGATGTCCCTGATGTTCTTCTGCCCTTCCCTGCAGTGTCCTTGATGATCCCCTGCCTTCCCCTCTGGTGTCCCAAATGCTCTCCCATCCCCTGTGGTGTCCCTCATGCCCCCCATCCTTGACCCTGGAGCTCCTTGGCTGGTGTCACCTCGCAGTACCAGGGTGCAGAGGATGTGCTGGGGGCTGAAGCCCGCTGCTGTCTGCCCATCTCCAGACGAGACCCCAAGCCCCCTGTTGCCTTCTGCCTGCTTTCCCCATCACCACTGTCCCCAGAGGGCAGGGGCAGCCCAGGTCTACTGTCCCCCTGTGCTGGGGCAAGCTGCAGGGCTATGGGTCGGCACTGACTGGCTTTTTCGGTAACGTGACCACTCTCCCCTCCATCTCCTACCCCATACCTGCAGACTCTGTCACCGTCTTCACCGGCCAGTGCTTTGTGGATGATGAGGGAAATGAGATTTTGAAGACCATGTGGCTCCTGCGGTCACAGGTGGACAACATCAAGAACGATTGGAAGGCCACCAGGTAAGCCCCCCGTCCCTGCCCTGCACAGGTCTCCTGAGCATCCCCAGAGGGGTTCAGGGCTCTCCCACCCTGTGGTGCTCAGCATCCAGCAGAGCTGCTGCCAGTGCGGGGGTGGTTGAGGATGGGGTGCTTGTGCATGGCTGCCCCGCGGGTCCCTCCGAGGTGCAAATGCTGGGGCGGGGGAGGCAGGGACGGGCAGACGTTTGGCACGGCAAGGCTGCGTTTCTCACTCTTACATCTCCTCCCTTTGTGTCCCCACAGGGTCGGCACCAACGTCTTCATCCGCCTGCGCTCCCAGCAGGAGTGTAACTGGCAGCGAGGGGATTCCCAGGCCAGCGGCAACGCCAACTCTGCATCCCGCTCCTTCTGCTCCGCCGCCTGCTACTCTCAATAAAGCTTTGCTGCAAACACCCACCCGTCTCCTGTCGTGTCGCACGTCAGCGCCCATGTTCCCCTGTGTCCCCCCCACGGCATCCCATGCCCTCTCCAGGCACCATCCCCGAGGCCCGGTGCCTGTCCCCCACCGTGACCCCTGCCGTGGCCTGGGCTCCTCCGTCGCAGCCCCAGCTTGCCCCACTGTGCTCCCTGGGGACCTCCGCCTTGCCCGGAGGAGCAGGACCCCACTCAGTCTGGCGTGGTGGCTAGTGGCCCGTCTCCCACCAGGGTGACCCTTGGCAGGAGGCCCAGCACGGGCGGCCACTGCCTGTCCGCGGCCCCCTCCACCATAAAAGGGGCCGAGCGGGCAAGGGGCAGCAGCGCAGGCAGAGCCCGGGCACCGCACACGGCCACCGCCGCTGCCGCCATGGGGAGCTTCGGCCGCTGCCTCCTGCTCGCCCTGGCCCTGCTCAGCCCCTGTGCCGCTGCTGCCAGGAAGGTAAGGGCAACCTGGGGGCCAGCGCCCGGCTGGGGGCTGCCCGCTCCTGCCGTGCCATGCCATGCCATGCTGTGCCGTGCCGTGCGGTCCCCAGGGTGCAGGGTGGCTGGACAAGGGGCTGCATGTCCTGGCTGTGCCATGCTGTGCTGTGCCAACCCTGGGGTGCAGCGTGAACGGTCAAGGGGCTGCCTGCTCTTGCTGTGCCCTGCTGTGCTGTCTGGTGCCGTGCCGTGCAGTGCCATCCCTGGGGCACAGTGTGCATGGCTGAGGGGGTTGCATGCTTTCACTGTGCCATGCCGTGCTGTGCCATCCCAGCAGACAGTGTTTGTGTTGGGGGGCTGCACGCTCTTGCTGTGCTGTGCTGTGCTATGCCATGCTGTGCCATCCCAGGGTGCAGCATGCGTGACCGAGGGGGCTGCCAGCTCTGGCTGTGCTGTCTCTGGGGGCAGTGTTGGTCACCTGCCCCTCGAATGGGGGGGTAGGGGAGGTATCCAGCACTCCCAGTTCTGCACTGCCCTGCCCTGCCACGGGAGGGAGAGGTACTGGCCCAGACGGTGCCCATGCCACCGGTCCCAGCTGCTGTGCAGAGGAGCCGTGCCAGCCCCAGACGCGTGGGGCATGCGTGCAACTGCCCAGGCAAGCTGGATTAGGGGCTGTGGCTCGGCGCTGCCCAAGGTACCCACATAAGCCCCTGTTGCATTAAAGGGTAAAGACATTTGGCAGAAAATAAACCCTCTTGTGTTCCAGCTTATGCTCAGATATCAGAAGGGCTGGGGACAACTAGGCTTAGATTCTGAGTGATGCCCAATTCAATGCTCTAAGTCCAGTCAAGTTCCATATATATTGAACTATAACGATTAGGGATGCACTAATAGCACACTGTACTTTCTACTTAGTCATGTTCAACAAACTAGAACGGCCAGACTTTAGCCGCATTCAATGAACCATCACAGCTAGATTTTAATGAATAGTACAGTTTATTGAAGCAACGGGAGTACAGCTTTTTTTGGATTGCTGGTGATAAATACACAGTCTGCAAAGCACATGCAAATAAGTGATACAGTCAACTACAAGCACACTAAATTATGGAAGAAAAGTAAAGATTTCTAAGTTTCCCGGGAAAGCACTCAGTATAGTCCAGTGTTTGAATCTCACCCAATAGGTGTCCCTATGGAGGGGAAGAGAGGCTCAGACCATGGAGGGATCCCAGAAGTCAGCGATGTCCTTCCAATTTGTCCATGATAATATCTTCCCTAACAGCCCCCCTTTATTAAGGCCTTTTATACTATTTTCCTACTTTTAGGTGGAGCTTGACCGACTCTATTCATACATACCTTTACTATGATTGGTATAAAATCTCCTCGCTTTACTTTTAAAGGTACATGCTAGATAAAATTCAGAGCGCACGCTCAGTGAGGAGTGGTCACACCTCGGAGGCGGGTAGCCTTTGGGATGGAGGTGTGTTTTGGTATTATAATAAGATTATAATGAGCAGAGTTCACCCAGAGGACATGATTTTGACAGAAAATGATTAACTGCAGGTCCAGGGCTGGCTCAGGGTTAACAACTATGTGGTTTATCAGTTCCATAGTACCATCCAGTTCCCATCCCTGCGGTGATGTCACAGAGTCTGGCCACGGTGCTTCCACGCCTCTCCACCCTCCATGTTCTTTCTCTCAGAGTCAGCACACCAAGCTCCCCTGGCATTGCTAACATCTAAGGTTGCAGGTTATATTGCTTAGGGAATTATTATGGAACCGAGTCATTGCATATCCACCATATTCTGCACTGGAGGTTTACCTTCTCTTAAGAGGTGGCCGTATCAATAAGTCACCTCCAGCAATCATTCCACACCCCCGGTCCCCAGTGCAACCTGCAGGGCCTGTGGAGGAACGAGCTAGGCTCCAACATGACCCTCTCAGCTCTGGACGCAGCCGGGACCTTCTCGGGCTCCTACCACACCGCTGTGGCGGCCACCAACAAGCAGATCCTGGTGTCACCCCTGCAAGGGGCCCAGCAGCACCCCAGTGCCAAGGGGCAGCCCACCTTCGGCTTCACCGTGCAGTGGCAGTTCGCAGGTACAGCGGTACCCGGCACGGCATCCCGGGGCAGCCAGCGATCCCCTGCCTGTGCTGGAAGTGGGGTGCCACCCCGGCTGGTCCCCCATACCCTCTGCGGCACCCAGGGAAACATCGGCTGTGGCCACAGGCTGGCCACATGCACTTGGTCCTGCCATGGGACGTGGTCGGGGAGGGCTGTCTGTCTGAGACGGGTGGCAGGGAGGTCCATCTGTCTGTCCAGGGCATGTGGTGGGGGGTGTCTGTCTGTCTGTCTGCCAGGATCAGGTGGCCCAGGTTCCCCTGTCTGGAGCCATAGGCTCTGAGCCCCCTCTGCCCCACTTGAACCCCGCCAGACTCTACCACCGCCTTTGTGGGCCAGTGCTTTGTGGACCGCCGTGGGAAGGAGACACTGGAAACCACGTGGCTTTTGTGGGAAGAGGTCCCGTCCCGCAAGGATGCCTGGAAAGCCACCAGGTAAGCCCTGCTCCTGCCCTCCTACCCCGCATCCCTCCTTCCCCTCCTGCTGACATGGTTTCCCTGCAGAGTCGGCACCTCCATCTTCACCCGCATCAAGTGATGGGGATGGGGACTGGAGCTGCCTGTACCCTGCTCTCTCACCTGCATCCCCGGGGCTGTCTGCTGCCCCGGTACCTGGCTGGGATCCTGCCTGCTCCCAGCATTCTGGCCAGGAAACACACCCTCACCTTGCCCTGCTTCCTCCCAGTGCCTCCCAGGAGCCTGCTGGTGGGGCCTCCCCTTCTCAAAGCTTGCTGCCCCCACACATGGTGCCAAATAAACCTTTCTCTGCCTGGCAGAGAGCCATGCCCCATGTGTCCCTGGGGTGCAAGAAGCCACTCTGTGGCCATGGGCAGAGGGAGGGGGTGGCTGGGGGAGGGCAGGGCAGTGTTTTGGGGGGCTGGGGGACAAGGGGAGGACAGCAGCTGGGTAATCCCACTTCCCGACCATAGCTTCGGGCCTCAGCAGATGCCTTCTTGCCTGTGCACCCCCTCGGGGTATCTGCAGGGGCCCTGCGGTGGGTGGCCCCCGGCAGCATCCCTGGTGTGGAGCAGCAGGATGCCCCACGGCCAGGGGTCAGGGTGAAGGCTGCGTGCTGGCAAGTCAGCAAGCTCGCCTGGCCTGCTCCTGCATCTCTGCACTCCAGTCTGCCCTGTGTTCCCATTAAACTCCATTTTCAGCTACTGCTCTGGGTGGGGGGGACTCAGTCCTGGGAGCACATACGGGGCAGGGCTGGGTGCCAGCCCCCACAAAGGGGACCATGGTCACGAGCTGGGAGCCTGTGGTGTTGGGGTGGTCCAAAGTCCAGGCTGGATACTGGAGGGACCAGAGGAGGGACCTGGGGCTCCAGGGACAGCTACTGGGCAGACTGGGTGGCTAAGGCCAGATACTGGAGGGATCCCTGCTGTATATATGTACATATGCATGTATTTCCCACTAACTGGCTGTCACCTGATCAGCCGGAAGGTGGAACAGAAAAACACCCCTTTCGGGTGCTCAGATTCACAGGACGACATCGCCTCTATGTTAAACTTTATTTTATCAGCTCATTAGGAAAGCAAGCAAGCAAACATGTCAAACAAGGACCCAATGCCCTTTGCATGGACCCATCTAACACATGAACTCACTAATTCATCACTTCAGCAACTCATGAAGTTTCTGAGTGAATGGAACTCAAGTTCCCTAATCCATTACATGCAGCTCCTAACTGAGGTGCGCCTGAGCGCCCTGGGGAGAAGCTGTGTGGGCACGGAGCGGCATGAAGGGCTCGAAGGACCGTGCTGCCTGGGGGCTGCAGAGGTGCTGGGGGAAGAGACTGTCAGATGGGGCAGGGACTTTGGGGCAGCAAGCACACAGTGCCCTGGGAAAGTGTCAGGGCCTGTCCACCATTGTCTTCCTCTCACAGTGTGCCCGCCTTTTGCCAGCCTTCCTCAGCCTCTGCTCCTCTCCCTCCTTCCCTGCTGGGCTCTAGGACTGCTCTCAGCACCCCCAGCTCCTGGCGCGTGCACGGACCAGAGCCTGTCCAGGGTATGCCTGTACTGACCAAGCCCAACTGGCTGACATGCCTGGTGGTCCAGCTTTTGATCAAAAGCCACCCCTGCCTCCTCGTCCTTACACCTGCATGCTGATCTTCACCCCCCGCATCCTCATCCTCACCCCTGCATACTCGTCTTTATGCCCGCATCCTCATCCTCACCACTGCATCCTAATCCTCACCCTTGCACCCTCATCCTCACCTCTGCCTTCCACATGCAGGTCCTCAGTTCAGCCACATTGCGCACTGGCATCCTTGGCACTGCCCTGACCACGCTGGGCTCATTCTTGCACCCACCCTCCCCAAACACCCACTGTGGCTGTCACCAGCACCGCGAGCAGGTCCCCAAATGCTTCTTCAAACTGTCTGTGAGGTTAAAGCCTCGGGACCCCAGTGGGAGTGGGAGGATGAGGTTGAGAGCCCTGGTGGGGGGAGCCCATGGGGGGACGCAGGGTCACCAAGAGCCATGTGGGACCAGGGAGTAAGACCTCACTTCTGTCCCTCCATCATCGCCACAGCTGCAAGTTCCCTGTCTCTTGTGGTGTCCCAAGAAGGCAGCCCACAACATAGGAGGTGGTGTAAGCAGCCTGCTTGCTAAGCAGGGGAACAGAAACAGAAAGCAAATCCATAGGAAGCCATCACTGACAGTGTCACTGCCACTACCCCACCCCGCTTCTCAGCTGTCCCAAACATCCCGGCCCCGCTTCCCATACGGCCCTGTCCTTGACGCTTCTGCAGCCATCCTGCTCACCTGCAGAAACAGCCCACCCTGGCCTGATCCTGCCCCAACATCTGCACGCCTTTTGATCTTGCCTGGTACATATGACCAGGGCTGCGTACCTCCAGCCCGCAGTGCCCTGAGGTTTTCTTACTGCTGTTGGGGCAGGTTCGCTTCCTTCCTCTGCTAAATCCCTGGAGCCACTCCAGATCACCAGCCATCCCCGTGCACGTACCCTCGCCCTGCCCTTGCGACTCCCTGTCCTTCTGTCCATCCCCTGCAGTGACCAGAGGGCAGTTTGGGGTGCAGGGGCTCCTGCAGGACAGGGGTGAAGCCCAGGCACAGCCCTCAGCCAGGGACCCCCAGGCTGGGCCATGTCAGTGGGCAGCCCTAGGAAACAATTCCTACATTCCCATCGCTGTCCCTGTTCCTGCCCATCCCCATCCCCAACCCCATCCCCATCCCCATCCCCATCCTCGTTCCAGGCCCCATCCCCAGCGCAGGAAGCTCAGCCCTGGGGGAGACTGCATGGGAGCATCCATGGGGGTCCCAGGGTCTGGGGAGGGACACTCGTGGAAGATCCATCCGCAGAGGGAATCCTCAGCAGCAGGAGGACCCCCAGCTCCAGGGGGGACACTGATGGGAGCTCCTGCCAAGAGGGTTGCTCTGAGGGTGGGGGATGCTCTGGGGTTGTCCGTGTCCCCAGGAGGGATGTGCATGGGCATCCCTTCCCTGGTGCAGGGGGCATGCACGTGGGGATCCCAACTCCCAGGGACATGCAGGGGAATTGGGGCAGGGGTAACCTGGGTACCCTGCCTCAGGGTGGTGGCTTGTCCCTGCCCGAGGAGGTGCAGTGTGGGAGAGGACAGGCAGTGCTTGGAGCTGGAGCCAGAGCCTTACAGATGGGCTGCTGCAGGGCTCTGGCTGTGCCGCTTCCTTGGCTGCGCAGGAGCCCACCATGAACCTGAGGGCTCTGCCCATCCCAGTGGGCTCCCCACTGGTGCCACGCACTGGTGCCGAGGCAGCACATGTCCCCACAGGCACAGGCAGATGTGTCCTGGGGTCACACAGCTCACCTGGCAGGGCTGGAGTGGGCACCCCATGGGCACTGGGGGGGTGCAGGTAGGGGGCTCAGCCTGGGGGGCAGGGGTAGGGTCTGTGTGCAGGCAGCCCCCGAGGACATGTCTGCTTTCCCCCCCACAGTACAACGTGACTGGTTGGTGGGAGAATGAGCTGGGCTCCAGGATGCACACGTCTGCAGCTGACAGCCAGGGCAACTTCTCTGGTGAGTACCACACCGCCGTGTCGAGCGCCCAGAAACCCATCGAGCCATCCCACCTTGTCAGCTCCCAGCACTTGGACGAGGATGGGCAGTGCTCCTTTGGCTTCACCGTCAACTGGAAGAAGTTTTCTGGTTTGTAGCTGCAGTGGCAGCTGTGCCTGGATGGGATAGTTGGATGGGGAGGGGAGCTCAGGCAGGTCCCAGCACCCACCCCAATCCCTCTGTCCCCTCTCCTGTCCCCAGTCTGTCCTTCCCTGATCTCTTACCACTCTGGACAGTGTCTGCAGGCAGCAGGATGCCTCCCGAAACACTGTTTGGGCTAGGCAGCATCAAGAGTTGCTTTGGCAGCACCTCTGCCACAGAGCATTTCCCTGCAAACATCGGGACCCACACGGGCTCCATGAGCATTAAACCTGCTGGTGCTCATGAAGCCCCAAAAGCAGCTGGGGTCCTCCTGGGATGCTAACAGCCACTGCTCCCCCAGACTCCACAGCTGTCTTCGTGAGCCAGTGCTTTGCTGGGGACAGTGGGGAGGAGGTCCTGC